GTGAGATGGTATCTCATTATAGTTTTGATGTGCATTTCTCTAATGGCTAATGATCGTGAGCATTTCCTCATGTATCTGGTAGCTGCCTGAATGTCTTCTTTGGTGAAGTGTCTGTTCATATCCTTTGCCCATTTTTTAATTGGGTTACTTGTCTTTTTGTTGTTGAGGTTTTGCAGTATCTTGTAGATTTTAGAGATTAGACGCTGATCGGATTTGTCGTAGTCAAAAACTTTTTCCCATTCTGTAGGTTGTCTTTTTACTCTTTTGGTGAAGTCTTTTGATGAGCATAAGTGTCCAGTTTTTAGGACCTCCCAGTTATCTAGTTTCTTTTCTGGCGTTTGTGCACCGTTACTTATGGTTTGTATTCTGTTTATGCCATATATTAGGGCTCATAGCGTTGTCCCTATTTTTTCTTCCATGATCTTTATCGTTTTAGATTTCATATTTAGGTCTTTGATCCATTTTAAGTTAGTTTCTGTGCATGGTGTGAGATATGGGTCTAGTTTCAATTTTTTGCAGATGGATATCCAGTTATGCCAACATCATTTTGTTAAAGAGACTGTCTTTCCCCAATTAACGGACTTTGGGCCTTTGTCAAATATCAGCTGCTCATAGCTGGATGAATTTATGTCTGGATTCTCAATTCTGTTTCATTGGTTTATGTCTCTGTTGTACCAGAGCCAGGCTGTTTTGACTACCATGGTGGTATAATAGGTTCTAAAATCAGGTAGTGTGATGCCTCCCACTTTGTTCTTCTTCTTCAGTAATGCTTTATCTGGGGCCTCTTCCCTTTCCATATGAAGTTGGTGATTTGTTTCTCCATCACCTTAAAAAATGCAGTTGGAATTTGGATAGGGATTGCATTGTATCTGTAGATTGCGTTGAGTAGAACTGACATTTTCACAATGTTGAGTCTTCCTATCCATGAGCAAGGTATGTTTTTCCACTTATGTGGGTCTCTTTTGGTTTCTTGCAGTAGTGTCTTGTAGTTTCCTTTGTATAGGTCTTTTACGTCTCTGGTTATATTTATTCCTAAGTATTTTATCTTCTTGGGGGCTATTGTCAATGGTACTGATTTGGTGATTTCCTCTTCCAGGTTCTCTTGGTTGGTGTGTGTAGAGGAATCCAACTGATTTTTGTATGTTTATCTTGTATCCTGATACTTTACTGAAATCTTCTATTATCCCAGTAGTTTTCTTATGTATTCTTTGGGGTTTTCTGTGTGTAAGATCATATCATCTGCAAATAGAGATACTTTTACTTCTTCCTTACCAATTCAGATGCCCTTTATTTCTCTTTATTTCTTTTTCTAGCCTAATTGCTCTGGCTAGGACCTCCAGCATGATGTTGAATAAGAGTGTTGATAAAGGGCATCCTTGTCTGGTTCCCGTTCTTAAGGGGAATGCTTTCAGACTCTCTCCATTTAGGATGATGTTGGCTGTTGGTGTTGTATAAATGCCCTTAATTATGCTGAGGAATTTCCCTTCTGTTCCTACTTTGCTGAGAGTTTTTATTATGAATGGGTGTTGGACTTTGTCAAATGCCTTTTCTGCATCAATTGATAAGATCATGTGGTTCTTGCCTTTTGCTTTATTTATGTGATGGATAACATTGATTGTTTTTCTAATGTTGAACCATCCCTGCATGCTTGGTATAAATCTCACTTGGTCATGGTGAATTATTTTTTTGATATGTTGTTGAATTCTATTGGCTAGAATTTTGTTGAGGATTTTTGCATCTATCTTCATGAGGAATATTGGTCTGTAATTTTCTTTTTTTGTGGTGTCTTTACTTATTTTGGTATCAGGGTTATGTTGGCTTCGAAGAATGAGTTTGGAAGTATTCCATCCTTTTTTACGCTCTGAAATACCTTTAGTAGTAGTGGTGCTAACTCTTCTCTGAAAGTTTGGTAGAATTCTCCAGTGAAGCCTTCAGGGCCAGGGCTTTTTTTTTTTTGTTGAGAGTTTTTTAATTACCTTTTTCAGTCTCTTCACTTTTATAGGTTTATTTAGTTGTTCTACCTCTGTTTGTGTTAGTTTAGGTAGGTAGTTTCTAGAAATTTGTCCATTTCCTCTAGGTTTTCAAATTTGTTGGAGTATAATTTTTCACAGTATTGTTATGATTCTTTTAATTTCAGTTGGGTCTGTTGTGATATCTCCCATCTGATTTCTTATTTGGGTTATTTGCTTCCTCTTCTGTTTTTCTTTTGTCAGTTTGGCCAATGGTTTATCGATTTTGTTGATCTTTTCAAAGAACCAGCTTTTGGTCTTGTTAACTCTTTCAATTGCTGTTCTATTCTCTATTTCATATA